CAATTTGTATTCACTCAAACATAGAGAATCTCGATTCACTAATGTGAATCCTGATATTCACAAGAACATTTTTTGTTATTAACTGATGGATAATTTGTACTAATTTTCTTTTTTTGCACTACAGAAGTTTTTGAAAAAAAAATGTGAGTTCTGAACCTAAGGAGTTGACTAGGATACGGGTCTCTCCAAAGATATTCTCTGATATGGTTTTGTCACTCTCTGACTCCCAAAAAGAATGGGTGAGACTAGCTAGACTTGGAGGTCTTTTACAATTTGGATTAAAGGAACTGCCACATATGTTGGGGTACCAGATTCTGCAGTCCTTTGACAGTGAATCCGTTGCGCTTAATCTTCCCAGAGGATCAATCAGTATCACAGAGGAAGATGTACATCAAGTGATGGGATTACCTCTAGGCAGGAAGCGTATACCAGCTTCCAGTACTGGCAAGTCAGCATTGGTGGATGAATGGAGGGGTCAATTCACAGACAGATTTGGTTGGAAAATTACTCCAGGGGTTGTGTCTGAGAAGCTGAAGCACAGTTCTGATGTTAACCTGTTTTTTAAACTGAATTTCTTGGTTCTCTTGCACAACAGCATGATCCAATCGCTTAGCAATCCGTATGTCAACCAACGGATTCTAGTACTTGGTGATAATGTTGATCAGTGCTCTCAATACAATTGGTGTTCTTTATTACTTGACTCAATGATAGATAGCCAACACAAGTGGAAGGTTGACCCGACAAAACAATTCTACACGGGTCCTCTTGCATTCTTGATTGTAAGCCACTTGTATAATATTAATTTATTTTTACATTACTGTAGTTAAAGTAGTTTTACTTGATGATTACCAATTGATGTGCTTTATTTCTTATCTCCGTCTTTCTAGCTTTTCTATGCCGATAGGGTTCTGTTCAAAGGTAGGAGGTTGGTTGAGAGAACAACCCCTACATTTTTAGGATGGACTGACTTCGCCTTGAAGGAAAGACAGTCAGAGGAAATAAGAACAAATTCATTTGGCAAAGGTGCATTTACAGAGAGGGATGAGCTTCCAGATTCATCTCGAATGCAGAGTGCTACTGGAAACTCTCCTAAAAGTGTTGATACAATTAGAAAGGTTAGCAAATTAAGTTGCAATACTTTGTTTATTCAATTTAATCTCGATTAAGTAGGAGTGAATCTCGATTCATTTAAACTGAATGTCGATTAAGCTACATTGAATGTAATCTGGATTCACTACTACTCAATCTTGATTCACTACTATTGAAATGAATCTGGATTCACTATTACTGAATCTCGATTCATTGAAGTGAAACTGGAATGAATCTGGATTCACTACTACTGAATCTTGATTCACTACTATTGAAATGAATCTGGATTCACTATTACTGAATCTCGATTCATTGAAGTAAAACTGGAATGAATCTGGATTCACTACTACTGAATCTTGATTCAAATACATTGAATGTAATCTCAAACTATCGAATCTTGTCTATCGCCATGTTAATAATTTATGGTGACCAATGTCTGTGATATTCAAAATGCAGGATTGTATTGAGAGGGTTCAACGGAGAGCTGCAGAGCTGGAATATGTAAAAAATAGATTTGATGCTGAGTGTGAGACAATGAGAAAGTTGTTCCCCAATGACAATGAGCTCTTTCAGATTTAACAGAGAGTTTCAAATGTACTTGTGCAGGGGTGGGGACATCGTGTAAGTACCTGTGACGATGAAACAGCTGTGGGAAACATTGTTGATGATACCCCTAATGTGAACACCAATGTGAGTAGAGATATGCATGGTTCCCCTGTTGTTGATCCAATATCAAGTGAGATACCACAAACACAAGTCTCCCCAGATTTTATTCAAGAAGTTGATAAGATTATAGAGTCTGTTAGCATGAAAAAGGATGACAGACCAGTGAGACGGAAGATCAGCGAATGTAGTACCCCACAGACTGAAGAACCTAGTTTTTCTCTTGGGCTGACACAAGATACTCAGACTGAATCAGTGGAAATGGTTGATGTTGTTCAGATTGCTAAAGCTTGTGAATCTGAAATCATTAATGAATCTGTACAAAGTACTGATAAATAATCTGAAGATGCTGCTGCAGTTAATGAATGTAAAGGTAAGAAAGTTCAGGTGGCCGAAAATAAGGGACATGCGGGAAGGGGGAAAGAAAAGAGGATGGTAAAGCCTGCAACGTCTCTTCGGTCACCATGGGTGCAGAGGGTATCTCAGATTACTGCTAGGCAAAGTCAGCTGGAAAGCATCATATGGGATTGGGTCCATAGAGAAATAAGGCATTCAGGTGATGATTCCGCTGAAGAAGAGAATTTGTAAGTTCTGAACACTTATTTGATATTTTATTATTAGGTGTGAGACTCGCTATTGTTGCTGTTTTTTCAGTGAAATGGTATTTTGTCCCTTTATTAAATTGAATATTATTACTGTTTTTTCAGTGAAATGGTTTTTAAGTGGAGACAAATTGAATGTTTCTTACCTGCTTTCAAGACTTTCCTTCCTTCTGAGGACATTGAGGCAAATTTAATCAGCATTTGGTCCTATATTTTGAACAATTCACTATAGTGAATCCATATTCACTATAGTGAATCCAGATTCACTATAGTGAATCTGGAATTCACTAGAGTCAGATAATTCCAGATTAGTTAACTCCAGTGAATCTCGATCACTATAATTAGTTAATCTTGAAACTTTGATCTGTGTTCACATCACGTAATCACGATCCATATTAGCTAACTCTAGAGTCAGATAATTCCAGATTAGCGCTAGTAAATATGTGTTCACATCACGTAATCACGATCCACTAGCTATAACTAGTCATCTCAAACTTTGATCACTAGAGTTAGTGAATCTGGATTCTCATCTTACTATGAATCTCGATTCAATATAGCTAGTTAATCTGTGTTCACATCACATAATCACGATCCACTACCTATAGTTAATTCTAATGAATCCAGATTCACTAATATGAATCCAGATTCATTAGAGTAAGTCCAGGTGAACTAACTCTATTAAATTCTAGCGAGCTAGATCCAATGAATCGTGATTCAATGTCATTAATACTGTTTCCATATAAACAACCAAAACAAATTGTATATTACATTAAACATTACTGTATAATAATTTGGATTTATTATGTGACACTGATTAATTTTGATTAAACAGCACCAGAATTTTGTGAGATATTTGGCAGACAAAAAACATCACAAGGCGAGTGAAATAAATACATTAACGCCTGACAGACTTGAGATGGAGTGGAGAACGGCCGAAAACAAATTTGATTGTGGTATTTTTGTCATGAGACATATGGAGACCTACATGGGCGGTGGTACAGCAAATTGGAACTCTGGTTTTCATAGAGAGGGTGTAAGTGTTTAAACTAATAATGTGTTGATAATTTACATTTAGTCTTTTTGAATTAATAAAATTTAGAATATAAAGCACATCAATTAGCTACTGAATCTTGAACTGAACTTTTATTCATATGGACAGGAGCGATTAAAAAATCAGCTACATAGACTGAGGTCTATATACTGTTGTCAAATTCCTACTGAACCAACAAATGAATTGGCAAAAGAAGTCATCAGGAAAGCCCAACTGCACCATGCTGAAACTGCCAGATTCAAAAAAGAGACGAGGAAGATCACAAGATCTCAAAGGAAATGATATTCTGAAATCAGCATAATTTTCAATGTTGAAGTTTACAGTTATTGAGTACATTGTCACTTAATGTTATGGAATACTCTGGTTTGTGTTGAACTGCTTTTCTATGTAAATATACTTTATAACAATAGCTTTGTCATAGTTTTATTTCGGATTATATGAAAATACTGTGAAGGTAGTGAATGCTAATGGAAGAATTTCGATTACAGCATAGAATGTGAGTTATAATTCAAGCTTTTATGTAACATACAATAAATTGATCATACTTATTGTGGATTGTATGTATTTAATCTTGGATCACTGTTTCAATATTATCTTAAGTTATTATCTTAAGTTTCACTAATTTGTTGAATCTGGATTCACTTTGCTAAATCTTAATACATTTGGTTCAATCTTGGTTCACTGTAGTGAATCTAGATTCACTTTAGTGAATCTCGATTCACTAAAGTTAATCTAGATTCACTTAAAGTGAATCTCGATTCACTACAGTGAAACACTATTGACTGTAACTATATTGAATCCAGATTCAATAAAGTGAATCTCGATTCACTACACTAAAAAATTCAGTAAGTCAATATTATCTTAGTCACTACACTATAGTGAATCCATATGCAGATCAGTGAATCCAGATTCACTAAAATGAAAATCTGTTCATTATAGTTAGTCCATAATAATTTAAACCGAAACAATCAAGTAATTTGATTGTTTGATTGATTATAATGAATCCCTATAGTGATATCGAAATTCAATATCAGATAATCTAGATTCAATGCGATCAATCTAGATTCAATATAGTTAGTCCAGAATCGCTTAACGCGAATTAAATTCAAACTGATGACTGCATACAACGACTTTATCATACCTGCTTAAATAATACAACTAATAATAATGGAATTCACATGCTATATGAGTAGATCTCAATTCAATATACTAACATGACACAATGTAACCATGTAATTAATAATCTAGTAAATATATATAGTTAAGAATTACACAATTCAGCAATTTTAATAAGAAATGTATTCCTAAAAATGATTCTGTAACGAATTATGACAACTAAATTAAACATCACTCTGCTGTATTGTTTTCTTTAATGGGCATGTCCGTGCGTCATGGAAATCGATTTTTTTGCACATATTACACAGCCTTGGCACCTTTTTCTTTCGTTGAGTAATTGATTTCTCATAATCACCAACAATTCTCTGTCCACACCCCTTGTTTCTACCTTCAATGGGAGGTTTAATGATCACTTCCGCTGGTATTTTTGAGCCAACAAAAAACTCCATTACATCATTTTTGTTCTGTGTGTCAAATTTTCAACTAGATTCACGCAAACTGTGCTTCAACTCCTTCAACTTCCCTTCCAGGTAGTCAAGTCTCTCACCATCTAAACCTGCCAAACTCACACAGGATTGGAAATCATACCATATGTCATTCAACTTGCGATTTGTAACTTCAATTGCATTGCACTGTTCTGATATTTCCTTGAACTGCAATGAATGCCTCATCCCAGCAGTGCAAAAAAACCATGCCTACATACTATACCCATTTTCTCAAACAGCCTACACGTACATTGCACGTCATTGTTCAAGTAAGCGTGTTTCACCTAAAATTCAAAAAACAATGTATATTAGCACCGAATAAAAAAAGAAAATGACAAGCACATGAAATGGTCACTGAATCGCGATTCAGTGTTGTGAATCGAGATTCACTACACTGAATCGCGATTCATTGCATTGAAAATATATTCAATTTTTATTGTTTCAATATCCATTATTAAGTTTTACCTCAAATATTTTTCCATGTCTCTTTTTGTCCTTTATGGAAAAAATCTTCACGCCATCTTCTTCAGATATACTGTTGATACTCATATCATAACAGGATGACATTATCTCACTCTGTACCTCATAAAACATTGTTCGAGTGTACAACTCTGCTGCATCCCTCTCCAATAACAATGGCGTGTCCATTCTTGGCATCGTCTTCGTTCCTTCATAGTTTAATCTTGCGTTTGTATGCCTTTGCTTCTCCATAGCACTCTCATATCGAAGATAAAATTCTGTCAATGTGTCAGATCTACGGTTGAATTTGTCAAAGAAACTGTTCTCACTCTCTGATATTGATGTAGTCCGCAATAAACCGGCCATTCACTGAATCGCGATTCAGTGTTGTGAATCGAGATTCACTACACTGAATCGCGATTCATTGCATTGAAAATATATTCAATTTTTATTGTTTCAATATCCATTATTAAGTTTTACCTCAAATATTTTTCCATGTCTCTTTTTGTCCTTTATGGAAAAAATCTTCACGCCATCTTCTTCTGATATACTGTTGATACTCATATCATAACAGGATGACATTATCTCACTCTGTACCTCATAAAACATTGTTCGAGTGTACAACTCTGCTGCATCCCTCTCCAATAACAATGGTGTGTCCATTCTTGGCATCGTTTTCGTTCCTTCATAGTTTAATCTTGCGTTTGTATGCCTTTGCTTCTCCATAGCACTCTCATATCGAAGATAAAATTCTGTCAATGTGTCAGATCTACGGTTGAATTTGTCAAAGAAACTGTTCTCACTCTCTGATATTGATGTAGTCCGCAATAAACCGGCCATTGGATCATCAGCATAATAGGCTGGAATCCATGACTCCCGAATGTTATACAGTTCACACAACCATTCATTACTTTCAAGCTTATATTCTTTCATAACATCTTTCCAACCGACTTCAAATGTTGCTGGATCTATATCTATACTCCAAATCAGTGCATTGATCTTCCTCTTGAAATCATCCATCTTCGAAATGCATTTTGCCAACTACAATATAAATATATAACGAAAGATTCAGTATTTATCTAATGAGGATTCATTATATTTGAATGCATGATTCATTACCTTTTGGTTAAATTTCTTCATGATGTGCCACATGCACAAACGGTGACGTGCTTCTGTAAAGACGGTTGGTATAGCTTGCTTCATGGCAGGGCACTGATCTGTAACAATACACTTTGGCTCGCGAATCATGCATTTCATGAATACCTCAAAAATCCATACATAGTTATCAATGTCCTCTTTAGCTATCAATCCTGCTGCAAATACAACACACTTCTTATAATTGTCGAGACCAGTAAATGGAACAAACTTCATGTTGTACCTATTGTATCACATACAAAAAATATAAGATTCACTATGATATATAATTACAATATTGAAAATCGTAAGAGATTAACTATAAAATCTTACTTGTTTGTGGAATATGTAGAGTCAAATGATATCACATCTCCAAATACATCGTAATTTCTTCGCCCAATAACATCTGCCCAAAAGATGCGAGTTAATCGACCGCCTTCATCAACTGCATAATCATAGAAAAATCCATCACTCATCTCCTTCTTATCCGTGAACTTCTCGATGATCATTTGAGCATCTCGATCACCAATATAAAGCTTCACATCCCTACTCCAATTTTTAAACTCGGTACAGGTAGCACCAACATTAGAATAACTTCCACACAACTCCTTAGCAAAGTTATATGTTTTGTTAGGCCCCATGTTGGCTTTTGCTCCATCAAATACAAGTTTCTTATGTGCGAGACCGAGAACTCTATTTGACTTCAAAAATTGTTTCCCACTACCGGAGACCAAAAAATGAGAATGCTCTTCAACAAATGAGAGAACATTATATCCTTTCAAACCATCAAACTTAAACACGACTTTAGCTTTGCAACCACATCTACTAGATACAGTTCTCCTTCTCTTTTTCGAACTGCTACTAAAATCATCAAAATCAACATCCATCTTTGATTCATTGCTGCCAGCTCTACTGCAAACAATGTGTTTAAGAAGAACTGTACCGTCCTCATGTTTCTTCTCTGTATGCCGTCTGATCTCAAACCCACTTTTACGTCCATACTCTCGGTAAAACTCTATACCATCCTCTAGTGATCGGAAGCTTTGGTTTAGATAAGGTTTAAATTCGGCTTCAACCCGAGGTTTCCAATACATACCACCACCTGGTGATTCAAAAGGAATCGAGCTAACTTCGTCCATTCCATCTTCCAAAAAATCACTGTCCGATGCATTTATAACATGTGGCTCCTTAATTTGTTCATTGCTGCCTACAACTGAAAATAAAAGAACATAAATAATATGACTATGTTTTTATATACTGAATCTGGATTCATCGCAATGAATCTAGATTCACTGGAGTGAATCTCAATTCACTACATTGAATCCATATTCACTACATTAAACTCTTGAATCCGTTTGAACACGTTCTAGTTATTATAGAATGTAATGATTTTCATAATGTATTCCCATATTTTCTTTCGTGAATCTGGATTCAATGAATTGAATCCACATTCACTAAAGAAAACATGGGAATACATTATGAAGATCATTGCATTCCCTGCACAACTAGAACTTGTTCAACTGAATTCAAGCTCTCCAATTAAATTGACATAAAATATTCACGAATATAAACTCCTAGATAATAAGTCATATGACTAAGTTTTGATATACTGAATCGGGATTCATCGTAATGAATCTAGATTCACTGGAGTGGATCTAGATTCACTGTATTGAATTCATATCATTGCTAATTAATCTGTATTGAATCTCGATTCACTTCATTGAATCCAGATTCACTGCAGTAAACAAGTGAATAAATTATGAAAAACACAATCGGGATTCATCGCAATGAATCGAGATTCACTGGAGTGGATCTAGATTCACTGCATTGAATTTATATCATTGCTAATTAATCTGTAGTGAATCTCGATTCACTGCATTGAATCCAGATTCCCTGCAGTAAACAAGTGGATAAATTATGAAAAACACTGCAATCTATAACAATGAATCTCGATTCAATGCAGTTAATCTAGATTAACAAATATAACGTGTTCAACTGAATTCAAACTCTCCATTTAAATATCCATAAAATGTTTAAGCGTGTAAGCTCCTATATAATAAATCATATGGCTAAGTATTTAAATACTGAATCTAGATCCATTACAATCAAAAAAATTAGACCCTGCACACCTAAATTCAAGCTCTCCATTTAAATCTCCATAAAATGTTTAACGGCCAGCTGCTGGACGATGATCGAGAGAGCTGAAAAACGCTGAACGAGAGCTGCTAGACGACGAACGATAGCTGCTGGACGATGAACGACAGAGCTGAAGAACGCTGAACGAGAGCTGCTGGACGATTTCCCGATGAACGAGAGCTGAAGAACGATGAACGATGAACGAGAGCTGATGGACGATTTCTCGATTGAGAGAGAGCTGCTCTTCATGACTGTTGGGTTGCCTGAGCCGTGAGAATGCATGGGGAAATGGAGAACTAAACAGAGAAGCATTAATTACCTCTCTTTAGTGGGCTGTTTATTTTACCTGATTACCCTTATGCAGCTTTAATCTCAGCCATTGGATGAATCTAGATCCAATGGAGAGGAGAGGTTTTTAGTTTTTAGGATAGTGAGGTTTGTATTTGAACCTCTCCCTATATATATGATAATAGTATGAGTATACTACTATACCTACGGATATATACTCGAACGGAGAGGAGACGAGAGAGAGAAACTTATGTCAACTTAAGTGGACCATCCCACCCAAAGTCTTATATCCATATATGAAAAGTCTCCTTCATATGATGCACCGGATCTCTAGTAACATATCAACGGGATAGAAACTTTGGTGGATGGTCCACTTAACGTTTACCATACAGTTTTTTACTATATAGTAATCCCTATTAACCTGACTACTAGTCTCTATTACTATAGTATATATGAATCTATAAGTGCGAGAGCAGACGAGAGAGAGAGATGCAGAGAGAGAGGCGAGAGCAGAGAGAGAGATGCGGTAATGCTTAGTACGCAAAAGCAGCACATTTTGTGCTTGTAGTGAGGTGGCAACAATGTCCCCCACTCCCGCATTTCAAATGGTAAAACCACCATTCACAATGAGTTGAGGACGTACATGGGATGATCACCATTTTGAATGAGTGGAGGGGATATACACCTTCCACTACCAGAGCACCACTATATGCTTGGTACCAAAGCATGCCCATTTTTCTCTAATATAGTACCCTATAGTTAGTGATAAACTACGATACGCCACGTTGGACGTATACGATATAATAGCGTGGTTAGATATAACATAATTTACTGATCATACTATAGTATATATTATTAGCATTAAGCTCCGGGCTAATAATTAACATAGATGAGAGAGAGAGAGAGATACATACATACATACATACATACATACATAATATGTATGTATGTATGTATGTATTAGAAGATCTGTTAGAGAGATTCTAGGAAGTTAGTTTGTATTAGAAGACCTTTTAGAGAGATTCTAGGATGTTAGTTTTTATTTATTCTATTATTCGGATGTATATATTAAGAGTCTTAGAGTAGTCTTGTGATTTTAATTTTCAAAGAATAATAAAAAGAGCAGTGCTTAAAGATCGTTTCCTTCCTCATAATAACTTTTATGGTATAAGAGCAATTCTAAAAAGTTATTTGTGAGTTGAGGGAGATGATGGCTACTGGAGCCGATTCTGATGTGAGCAGAGGTGATGGTTCTAAGGCTCAGTCCTTGCAACCAACCTCTAAAATCATATCTTCTGCTAATACTTCTGATAAAATGTCCCTCTAAATTACTACTCACAAACTCACCGAAAAGAATTTTCTCCAATGGTCGTGGTCTGTTCAGATTGTAATCCGAGGCAAAGGGAAGTTTGGATTTCTTGATGGTTTAATTAAAAAGCCAAATGTGGATGATCCGAAATTTCAAAATTGGGATATTCAGAATTCTATGGTGATAGCATGGCTGATACATTCTATGGAGGATGATATTGGCGATAGTTATTTATTTTATCCTACTGCGAAGGAGATCTGGGATGCAGTTACACTAGCCTACTCTGACTTTGAAGACTCTTCCCAAATATTCGAACTCCGGAATCATGCCCGCAATTTGTGACAGGGGGAGATGACGGTCACTCAATACTTTATTGCCCTAAAAAAAGTATGGCAGGAACTTGATTTGTTTCGTCTTTGTGAGTGGAGAGACCTAGCTGATGGATTACAGTATCAAAAGATGTTAATCGAAGATAGGATTTATGATTTTCTTGCTGGTT